GGCTCAAATAGAAAAACTCCATGAAAGAAAAAGAACCAAAATGAGAAAATATGATCAACGGAAGAAACGGCGTTGAAAACTGAGTCCCGAGCAGAGAGATATGCCCTAAACAAGTTTGGCGCTAACTTAGGCCGGAAACCCGAAAACTGTAAGGTTCGACCGCAAGACAATTGTAAGAGTACACGACTCAACGAAATATGAAAATGAATCCCATACAAGGATTCGAGCCCCAAGGGGACACTTAGCAATTAACTTTCATTAATTACACAAAAGCCCCTACACAAAAGGATAACTGCGTAAGTGACCCAAAATGAAAATATCTTCCAAAAGATATTTTCTTAGAAACCCCTAAACCAAAATATCTTCAAAAGATATTTATGAAAAACACCCCAAGAAAAAAAAATGTTTCTGAAGAATCTCTTCATCCACGCCCTTGCGGGAAAAAGAAACAACCAGCGAGCTTTTTTCCAAAAATAAAGTTACGTCTTTCAAAGAAACCAACAAGAATGGAAGTACGTGAAGTCAAAAACCAACTCTAAATAAGAAGAGTGAGGTTACGCGGAGGGAAATTTCAATGAAAAAATTTAACCCGTAAAAATGGAGAAAAAGGAAAGGAAGGAAAATGACCGGGTCATTATACACATAAACACAAGAGTGAGTTTAGAGTATTATTTAAATCCTGATCGTGATCAAAGTCTTGCATCTACAACGATCAGAGAAAAACAGATCTACTTCTACATCGAATTCATATATTGAAGAACAGAAGTAAAAACGATCACACTTTGAAAGGGTCAAAGCATTCTAAGGGTGTTGTTTGATTTATCTACTACCCTTCCACAGAGATCAAGCATAAGCCTGAGGTCAAGTTACTGTTAGATGGGACGTCGCAAAGCCAGAGGATTGTCAGCTATTGGTAATTGGTAAAATGATAGGGTATGAGCCAGAGTTAAAGTTTAGTGTACTTTGTTTCATACATAGTGGATCAATTTATTTTGGACTGCACAATCCACGAGGTTTTCCCGCGTAAATAGTTGATCTATTTTATCAATTGGGGTTTCTTCGCTAAAAATCATAATGTCGGCTCTAACTCTTTACTTTCTTTTATTTTATCTTGCATAAGATTAATTTATTAATTGCTAAAATAAGTAAGGATAGAAAGATATAGATATGTTTCTAAAAATACAAAAAAAATTTAAATATTACACTGTGTACAACTCATAAATTGGTATCAGAGATAATCTCTACATATTGAGTTGATCCTTGTGGAAAGTTTTGATTGATTTCAAAAAAAAAAATTCATCATGTCTTATGCGTTGAAAGAAGGTGGTTCTAATCAACGTGGTCCTTTATTTGAAGGAAATAATTATAATTTTTGGAAATGAAATATGAGAGCTTATTTGCAAAATTCAGGAGGTAAAACTTGGGTTATTACTGAATCTGGCTATACACCACCTACAGAAGATAAAACTGTGGATGGTAAAGTAGAAAAAGTTTTAAAAGATGGCTTTGCTTTTACTGTTGTTGAAACTATGCATAATGATGCTAATGGAAAAGTTTTATATGTAATTATTAATTCTGTTGTTCCATCTGAATATGCTAGAATTTCTTATTGTAAAACTGCTACAGATGCTTGGGATATTTTATAGGTTACTCATGAAGGGACATCAAAAGTGAAGTTATCCAAAATTCAGATACTTTCTCATGACTTTGGGAACATCGTGGTGAAAGAAGATGAATCATTTTTTGATTTTTATTCTAATATTCTTGAAATTATTTCTGAACTACGTCACTTAGGCAAAAGAGTATAGTGATAAGAAAATTTGTGAGAAAATCTTAAGGTCTTTACCTAAAAGATTTCGAATAAGGGTAGAAATTATCACTGAACATTGGGATTTGTCAACATCTAAAGTTGATGAAGTTGTGGATTCGTTGAAAAATTATGAGATGTAGAATTTTGATATAAATCAGAAGGAGAAGAATCTTGCTTTAAAATCAACACAGGTAAAAAATTCTATTGATGACAACTCTGATGATGATTTTGCTTTTCTGTCAAAGCAATTTAATCAGATATTGCAAAGGCAACAGTGGAGAAAGAATGACAATCCTCAAAATTTTGACAAGGTATTGAAATTTAGATTTAATGAAAAGAAAGTAGAAGAATAAAAAGAAACTGAATTCACTTGTTAGAATTGTGGTGGCAAAGGTCATGCATCCAATATTTGTCCCAGTCCTAAGAAAGATCAAAAGGATATGAACAAAGGAAAATTAATGAAAGTTTCTATATCTGAAATTATACTTCTAGTGATAATGATTCTCCTCATGATGATTGCAATAATTTTTCTTTTGTCACTTTTCTTGAAAAAGATCCTCATGTTGTTAGTTTATCTGACTCAGATATTTCAGATAATAAAGACAATGAAATTCATGATGAACAAGTGCAAAAGGAAGAAAAGGATGATGAAAGATTAAAGAAGATGGTCGGAGAAACCATTGAAGTCAAACAGGCTATCAATAAGTTAGCAAAGGAGCTTATCTAAGAAAAATGGGAGAATGAAGATCTAAGAAAATAGATTGATGAAGGAAAAAGAAAAGCTTTGGAAAGCAATTATATTGTCACTGAGTTGAACAGAAAAATCATCATTCTTGAAGCTAAGGTAAGTAATGCTAACTCCTTGAAGGAATATCTTGGTTTGAAAATTGAATCTCTTGAACTTGAATTACAATCTACACAAGATAGATTGAAAGGGTTTACAATGGGTTAAGATTGTTTAAATAAATTGATTAACATGGGTAAGGATGTGAATGTTAAAACTAGGTTAGGATTTGTTAAAGGTTCATCTAGCTGTCAAGGTAAAACAATTTTTGTTAAACCTATTGATTAACGTATGCTTATCCATGTCTGCCTAATGCATAACATTCTGATATGTCTTATGTACCTAAACTATTGCATTGCACTTTTTTTTTTTTTTTTGGGGTAAGAATAGACATAAATATCACTCATGTTTTCATAGGAAAAAGAAAGATTTTTTAAAAATTTATTCTCATGATATTCATGCTCAAAAAAAGGTGCATTCTAAGAAGAAAAAGAACTTTGTTGCACCTAAGATTTCTAAAGCTGAAAATTTGCCTAAGAAAGAGGTAAAATACGAAAGAGAATTTCAGGAAGTGAGAGTGAAAACTGGGTGGATCATAAAGAAATATCTGATCCATTATATATATGTTGAGTCCGAGGAACTAGTTTCCAAAAGGACTTTACCTTCAAACTGAGTCCTAAGATAATCAGTGATCATGGTTTCTACTTGAATGAAAAATTTGTTGCCATTGGATCACTTGTTATGGTTTTGTTAAGGTATTGAGTTTTGATTATAGTCTCATGATATATGTGTGAAAATTCTTTCATTGAATTTATGATCTTTCTTTGAATGCAAATTGAGACACGTGATGATTTGATAAAAATAGATTCTTGGGTTATAATCTATACAATGAAAGACAATTTACATTAATTAGGAGATTTTTAGATTTGAATTTCTTGAGTTCATAATTTTTGTGCACTAATCCATCTCTGAAAAATTTAACTGAAAAATTTTGAATTATTGACTAGGGTATATTGATCACAAAAGTTATAAAGGTTATTATCTGAAAAAAAAAAAAATAGGAGCTTAAAATAATAAAAATATTCAGCTTGAAAAAGAAAAGAAAAATTTGAAAATTGTTGAATTCTTTGTTAAGGAAAGGGCTACCTATCAAGATTTGATCAAAAGCTCACATTAGACTTTGAAGAGGAGCTAATTAAGTAAAAAAGAATGGTCAAGACAATTTGAACTGGGGAATTGCAGTTTTCTTCTTTAGAGTGAAAGTCGCCTTGCTTAGAAAAATTGCTCAAAGACAATCTTATCGTGATACTTTTCGATCAATATGGTTTGGACAATGATTTGTTGAAAAATTGATTGAAAATTGATGAGATTGGATTTCACATAAATGTGAACTTGCTAGATTAATTTTAAAATGTTTCTATAGGATTTGTAAGTTAAATTTCGTGTTGGGATTATTTCTTGAGAGTTGAAATTAATTGAATATTCTGTGGAGTCAATTAATTGCATTCATAGATATTTATGGATATTTTTTGAAAATTTCGATCATGTGTGGACCTGAAATTTTTTGATTAAATACTCAATGATTTGTTTTGTTTTAAAATAATTTTAAAAAATTAGAAAATCTCAAAAAAAATCAAAAAGATTTTTTATTTTTAGTTGGTAGTTTTTTTTATTGGCATTGATCATTGAATGGTGGAAAATTTTTGGGAAGAAAATAGTTTTCTCAAAAAAAACTCATGTTTAAAAAGTGAACTGCCAAGGCACTAACGATTCAGTACTCTCCCTACCGGTTCAGGAGTGCTAAGAGACAAAGACCAACTACATTGGCAGTTGGCTACCGGTATCAACATTTGGGTACCAGTTCAGCAGTGGTCACCATTTAATGACTATTTCTCTGCCCTTTGGGAACCGGTTCCTGGCAGTGAGTTTTGATATTAAAATAACCCACTTTGCATATTGTTGGGTATTACAATATACTCATATTCTCTCTCCGTATAACCTCTCTCTCTATACTCTCTCTACATTATATACATCATATATATAAATTCTCATGTCTTCAAAATTGAATATCACTTCATCATTATAATTGTTCATTACATGATTGAAGATTGAAATCATTGAGATTTGAAGATCGAATTTGCAAGAAATTGAGGATTGAAGTTGTGGAGTTTGGGTTTTTGAAAAACTTAAAGGATTGGTTAAGACTGAAGTTGAAAACTTGGGTTTGAGATTGAAGACTTAGGATTTGACCTTATGGCTTTGTATACATCATTATATTGTTGATTTCTCGGATATTGAAGATTCAAACAAAGCTTTCACAAGAACCTTATTCGGGGTGCATGCCAAGTGTTCGATGAAAGTTCTAAGTGAGTTTAAGGCATTAATCCAAAATCTTCCAAACATAAAATGGCTCCAAAATTTTCTTGGGAGGCTAAAGGAAAGGGTATTGCAATTCTTCCACCTCCCAAGAGAGCAAGAACTACTATTTCTATCCATGAACCACATGAGGGTTCAAACGTTCCAAGGGATGCTCCGACTTCTCTTATGAGTTCTAGTTCACCAACAACTGAGGTACTGACTGGGTATCCATCAGTTGCAGACATTGGGTAGGTTAAGTTTGCATGGGAACACTTCTACAACGAGCATGCTTGGAAGGTGTACACCAAAGTGTACAAAGGTGGACTGATAAAATCGAAACGGAATGTGAATTTGAAGAAGTTAAGAGACAGTCCGTGTGGAGGGAAAAATCCACCTCTAATGAAGATTGTCCACATCATCACACTGCAAATTTGTATTCTTTATATTACGAGGGCCCGATTCATATCAAGCCTGAATTACAAAAGCCCAATCCGGAATAAGCCCAAGTTGATTCTTCCTTTCTATCAAGATCACTAGCACGGGTCTCCTGGCCCATTATTCAAGCCCAGCTGGTTCAAGATGCATTTAGCCCAAACTATTTAAGAATAAACGAGTCCTGTCAATTGACAGATTCATGGTAGAAGGTAAATTCTATACAAAGAAGTTTTGTAAAAAAGGTAGTCTGGCATAGAAAGAAGTATAAAAGGAAACAAAATTATAGGAAGGAGGATTGTATATGGAATATATTGGAGGGCAAGCAATGCGAGTCCTACCATAATTCTACCACCTTTTTGTGTATAAATAGAGGCCTAAACCTCTAATAAAATCCATCAAGCAATATTCGTTTTTCTCTAAGTATTATAATTGTTGGTTTTGAGTGAGTTGTATTTTTCTTTTTATTTCTTTTAATAGGGAAAAATTTTGCACCTACACTTTGGTGCCGTCTGTGGGAACATATAGAAATATACTCCCACTATTGTTTTAAATCGTTTCTATTACACGATCTGGAATATCGAACGGAGGATCTGCAATAACGGCTGATTAACAGATGGAGTTAATGTAAAAGATGCGAGAAGAATCCTTGCACCAGGTTGAAACACTTCATCAAGCAAACGAAGCCAGCGTAGCCCAGATTGCATTGCTTCAACAACAAAATGACACCTTCTAAACGGCGATGGCTCAGTTGACACCATAGCCACCACCACGGCCGCACCTCCCCCCAACCAAAACACTCCTCCAGTTAACGAGCCTCAAGTCAATGGGGTACGGCCTAATGAAGCTCGGCCCAACAAAATTCAGTAAGAGTAGAGGACAAGGACCGAGGCAGTCACTTCGGACAATCTTCCTCGTCACACATAGGACGAACAGGCCGAGTCCAGCCGTAAGCTTACAGTATGGTCTAATGGCATTCTGAATGGCTAAGGCGTACAGGAGGCCTTTGATGAAAATAGACTCCTGAGGATTCAGACGCCTGCCGAGATGGCAAAAGAGTATAAGAACTCTCTAGCGAAGACTCCGTTCACCGATGATATATACCTTATTGACAGGCCTAAGAAATTCACTATGCCTTCCTTTACTAAGTTCAATGGTACTGGAGATCCTTCTCGTCACCATAACCACTATGCACAAAAGATGGCTCTGGACGATCACAACGATCCATTCATGTGCAAGGTTTTTCCGACTAGTCTAACAGGAGCTGCATTAGAGTGGTTCAGAAATAGACCACACAAATCCATCCCGGACTACGAAACTTTGTGCACAATGTTTCTAGCACAATACTGCGAAAACAAGAAGCAGAAGAAGAGTATCACTAGTCTCTTCACCATAAGGCAAAACAAAGGAAAAACTCTACAGGATTTCTTGTCCAGGTTTAACATGGAGGCCTCGAAAATAGCAGATTGTTATCCTGCGACTGCAATAAAGACATTCAAGATCGTTATAATTCAGGGAACCAAGTTTCATACCTCCCTAGTCAAATATTCACCTCAGGATATACAGACTCTCATTGCTAGGGCACAGATTTACATCCGACTTGAGGAGAATGTGGCCCACTGAGCACAGCACGCCACTCTCGTTACAGTGGAGAATAAGCCTCGGGAGAAAATGTCAAGTTCAAAAAGTTAAAAAAGCCATCATGCCTCAACACCGGTCACTCAGGTACCTAAAAAGAGGCAGAGGATAGAGGAAAGGTTCATACCTTTTCGCACCACCTTGGCTCGGCTATTCTAAGAAAATAAGGTGAGATTTGCAGCCTCTCAACCAATGAGGCAACCTTTGGAACAAAGGGACAAGAGCAAGCACTCCACCTACCATAGAGATTACGGGCATACAACCAATGATTACAGATCCCCTAGGCGGTAAGTGGAGAACATGATAATCAAGGGTGAGTTGGCAGACTACCTCACAACAAAAGAGTACGTGAAGCCTTGGGAGGTCAATCCTTTGAAAGTAGAAGGTAATCAAGTAAATGTCATCCATGGAATACATGGGAGATCAGAGGACAACCAAAAGTCGAAATAAGTATATAGATCCAGACTGAAGGCAGCCCACAAGCTAAGGAAGTTATCCTCGGTGAATACTATCACCTCGGGCAGCATCAGTATTGGGTTCGGCAATGGTGATTTATTTAGTGTTCAACTCCCCCACGAGGATCCACTAGTCATCAGTCTTCTGGTGGCAAATTACATAATTAAAAGGGTTTTGATAGACCTAGGTAGTAGCGCCAATATTATTATAAAGGCGGTCATTGAGCAGCTGGAGATCCCATCATCATCAATTCGGCCCACCTCTAGTCCTTTGATGGGGTTCGACGGCATGAAGGTAGACCCTCTTGGGGTAATTGATTTATTCGTCACTGTGCTAAAAAGGACATTGAAGGAGAACTTTCTTGTAATAAAAATCCATCATTTGTACAATCTCATTATGGGAAGAGGTTAGACCCACCAAATGAATGAGGTTCTGTCTACCCTTCATCAAGTGATGCGATGTTTTTCTCTAGATGGTAAGGAGGTTATTAATCTTTGGGGAGATCAGGTCGCTGCCAAAGAATGCTATACGTTGACGCAGAATGAAGCAAAGAAGATAGTTAAGCAGCCCCAACCAGTTGCGACTCCCGGGAGTATGTCCAAATAGCAATTACGGAGCCTTCTGCCCAAGTACCTGAAAGCGGAGGATGAAGCTGAAGCTACAAAGCCTACCGAGGAATCCCTCAAGGCTACTGAAGTTGTCCTCAGTGATCCCTAGAAAGTCACCTATATAGGCTCTTCCCACACAGCCGAAGAGAAAGAAGTGTTAGTCACTATCATTCGATGGAACGTAGATGCATTTGCCTGGGATCATTCAGACATGGTAGGAATTAGTCCTTCAATTTCATGTCACAGCCTGAAGGTGGATCTGGTATTTAAACCAGTTAAGTAAAGACATAGAAGGTTCGCTTCTGAGCGCAATCAAATCATTGCTGAAAAAGTGAACAAACTCCTTCAAACAGGCTTCATCCGAGAAGTGCACTATCCGCAATGGCTCTCAAACGTGGTGGTAGTTCAGAAGAAGAATGAAAAATGGAGATTGTGCATAAATTTTACCAATCTCAACAAGGCTTGCCCTAAGGATAGCTTTCCACTACCCAAGATAGACCAGATAGTTGACGCTACCACTGGTTATGAGAGACTCACATTCCTCGATGCGTATTCTGAGTAAAACCAGATCCCTATGAATCCAGAGAATGAAGAAAAAACTGTTTTCATAATAAAGAAAGACACTTACTGTTACAGAATCATGCCCTTTGAACTCAAGAATGCTGGTGCGACTTACTAGTTTCTCATTAATAAGATCTTCAACGAGATGCTGGGAAAGATGGTTAAGGCCTACATTGATGATTTTGTGGTTAAAAGTGTAAAGAAGGAGGATCATCCCAAGTACCTCCAGGAAGTCTTTAACACTTTGAGAAAGTATAACATGAAGCTAAATCCTTCCAAGTGTTCCTTTGTAGTCTCTTCAAGGCAGTTCCTCGGCCATAATGTCAATAAGAAAGGAATAATATTAAGCCCAGCTTAGGCTCAGGCCCTTATACAAAATCAAGAACCAAAAACTCGTAGGGAAGTATAGGTTTTGACTGGCCGAATTGCAGCTCTTAGCCGCTTCATCTCTCAGTTATCAGACAAATGCAAACCGTTCTTTGATGTAATAAGATCCAATTATGTCTGCTCCAAAGCCTGGTGAGACTCTCATTATGTATTTAGTAATCTCCAGTATAGCCACAAGTGCCGTACTGATCAGAGAATAAGGGAAGAATAAGTATCCAATCTTCTACACAAATAAGACAATAACAGATGCTAAGACACGGTATAACAAAGCAGAGAATATAATACTAGCATTGGTGTATGCAAAGAGGAAGCTTGGACACTATTTTGAGTCATATAGCATCATAGTCCTTACCAACTATCCCATGTGAGTTGTTCTTTCCAAGCAAGACTTGTCCGGAAGAATAACTAAATGGTCAATCAAACTTAGTTCCTTCGATATATCTTACGAACCAAAGGTGTCACATAAAGGACATGCATTGGCTGACTTCCTCCTTGAGTATGAAGATAAGCCCAAAAAGCCAAACCCTCCCAAACCACAATGGGAGCTTTGGGTAAACAGTTCCTCAAACCTAACTAGTGCCGAGGCAGGAGTCGTTATCACAACCCTAGAAGGCACCAAGCTGCAGCAATCAATCTGTCTGACTTTTCCTGCTACTAACAACGAAGCCGAGTATGAGGCCTTGCTCACCGGGCTCCGGTTGGCAAATCAGCTCCAGGTAAGGTGTCTAAAGGTTTTTAGTGACTCCCAACTTATTGTGAATCAGGTAACAGGCAAATATCAGCCCAAAAAAGAACGAATAAAATCATACAAAGAGGCTATGGAAAGTGCTACATGAGGATTTGATCAAATCAAATTCCACCAAGTACCTCGTGATGAGAATTCTGAAGCAGATCAGTTGGCCGTAGCAGTATCTTCTTTAGACGAAGATTTGGTCCGGATAATACCAATTGACATCCTGGACAAACCTAGCATAAGCCCTTGGCAAGAGGTAATGGTAATCCCAGATATTCAATGAGAGCCATGCTGGATGGATCCACTGGAAGCTTACCTCAAGCATGGAACTCTTTCGAACCAGAAAGCCGAGGCAAGGAAACTTAGACTCACCGCAGCCAGATATTCTATCATCAATAATCAATTGTATCAGAAGTCATTCTTACATCCTTACCTGAAATGTTTAAGCCCCACCGAGACCCTCATGATATTGAAGCAAATCCATGATGGGGATTGTGGCAACCACTCTGGCAGTAGATCCTTAGCACATAAGGTCCTAACTCAAGGTTATTTCTGGCCATGCCTGGCTCGGAATGCTGAAGAGTATGCCAGGAGATGCGATAAATGCCAGCGACATGGTCCAATGAAACATTAGCCTGCTGAAGACTTGCACATAATAGCAAATCCATGGCCATTCACACAATGGGGGATTGATATGGTCGGTCCTTTACCCAAAACTGCGGAGCAAAAGGAATACGTGTTGCTAGCCACGAATTACTTCACAAAATGGGTAGAGGCAGAGGTTTATTCAAGCGTGACCCATTAGCAAGTAAAGAGTTTTCTATAGAACAACATAATCTACCAATTTAGAGTGCCAAAGGTTATTATGATGGATAATGGTCCGAACATGGACAACAGAAGCATAAAGAAATTCTTCGCCGAGCATGGGATCGAGTAGAAGTTGGCCGCTATTAGCCATCCGCAGGGAAATGGGTAGGCTGAAATAACTAACCGAACCATTTTCAGCTGCCTGAAGAAAAAATTAAAGAAGCTCAAATCAAAATGGTATGAGAATCTACCTCAAGTGCTTTAGGCCTATCGAACCACCCCACGAAGGCCGACGGGGGAAAACCCCTTTGCCATGGCCTATGGGTCTGAAGTTGTCATCCTCACAGAGTCAGCAGTACCTACTCTTTGAACACATTTGGTGCTCAAGGGAAATAATGATCAACACCTTGAGCATAGCCTCGACCTCTTGGAAGAGAAGAGGGACACTGTAGTAATTAGGCTCACTTCATACCAACAATAGCTGCGTAACAGTTATAACAAGTGGGTCAGGTTCAGGAGCTTTGTGGTAGGTGATTGGGTACTAAAGCAGGAAACAGCCCATGTAAAAAACTTACAACCGAATTAGACTAGACCCTACAGAGTCACAAAAGTGGTAGGGAAAGGAGCTTACCGATTAGCTGAAGTAGATGGGCGTCCAATCGCACGTCCATGGAATGCAATACACCTCAAAAGGTACTATCACTAGACAATATAGTCCATTTGTTCTTCTTTTTCAATTCAACAATATATTTGTCTTTCTACAAATACGGCTGTTTATGGCCCATATAATAAACTCTCATATTGTTGAGTGCGTCCTTTCTCTTTTGAGTATATGTTGCTTTCTGTAGTTGATGACGTTGGGTACACGTGTGATCAACGGTCCCGTGAATTCCATATTAAATATGGGATGCTATTTCATTTCATGTTTCTATAGTTTTTCTTTCTTTTCATAAAAGGGGGCAAGACTAGTACCCACTAGTACCCTAGTATGAATTGATGTTACGACAAGAAAAAATAGATGTTCCGACAAGAAAAAACAAAACAGCAAAAGAGAATATAAAAATAGGCATAAAGTCAACAATTGTTTATGGAAACTATCGAGTGTTTATTTGTAGAAACTATCTTCAATTGGACACAACAGCTATGCATATTTTTTAAACTACTTTGAGTTTTTACATGGCAACTCACTTTTACTGTTGTCTCTGTCCCACACCGATAAAAAACCTTTATACATTCCTTTATATAGAAAAATATTAAACTATTTGAGTGTATTACAAAGAGGGCCCACTGGTAACAGAAACGGCCCAGCCCAAATGGTGTTCAAAGCCTTGATACCAGTAGGCATTCTTTATAATAATTCATTTTAAAGCCCAAATTTCTGGCCCATATTATAAACTCTATTCTTTGTCCTACATCGAATAGAAGTATAAGAG